CCATCTCGTCTTGTTTGATCTTATTTCATCGATATTAAAGCTCGTTTGCATGGTGTTCTAAAAAAAGTCTTTTTATGGCTTTTTTTAAAGTGATTGTTTCAAAAGTTAAAATTATTTTATGTTTAGATAAAACACAAAAAAGTAGTTTTAAACAAAAAATTATTTGAATATTAAAATTAATAATTATTTTTATATATAAAATTACTAAAAATAATATGTAGTGACACTAGTGATAATAGTTGGGTGGAGTTGTTAGAGGAGACGTTGACCTTTTTGTCACAATTTTTCAAAGTGCCACATCACTAAAGTCATTGGTACTGTAACGCCTTTTGTTTGGCAACATAGCGTGTTTATTGGGGCCACAAAAGTCGCTGAATAGTATAGAGAATTTTATAATCAAAGTGGCAAGTTTTTTGTGCAGCTTTTCTGACACATGGCAAAGAGAAGACTAAAGTCGCTAGATAATGTAGAGACTATTGTACAATGAGTGAAAGTAAACTAATGGGAAAAGTAAAACGTGTAGAGACCAGTATACTTCTAATGTATATCTACGAAAGTAAACAAATGGGAAAAAATAATTTAATGAGACTTTGCTTATTATTCTATAAATTCTAACTTTTCTCCAACTGATCCTCAACTGTCATTTATGCTATTTTAATATGTCTGAATATTTAGAAAAATTGAAAACGTAATTAACAAATATTTCATAAATTGCATAAAAATTTCTAAATTTAAGTAGAACGTAAACAAAAATTAAAAAAATACTATAAAATCATAAAGAATATCCCTAGTAATATTAGAAAAGTATACATTAAATAAAAATATCTCCAAAATAAAAATGATATAAAAATAATTTATTTTATTTTATTTTAAAAGAAAGAGAATAGACAAATTCAAACACTTTAAAGAGAATTTATTAGATTCTTAGCTATAATATTAGAAATAGTATCTCAAGTCGAGACGTCAACTTAATACAGACCTTGTCTCCTGACCTGACGAATCGGTTCAACCCTAAACCGGTAAACAGGTCATAAGACCGGTTCGAGTAACGTATTGGATCGGGGCTGCATATGAACTAGCACAAACCGGATTAACTCGGTGCAACTTAGTCGGGTTTGGTAAAATTAGTGACTTGTCGGTGATGAAATGAAGAACTCTGACAAACATTCCTACACGCACTGTCTCCTTGCCATCTTTTGAGATCTTGTCCAAAGACCCCACCTTTCCTCTGAAACAACATGTTTCTCACAATGAAAAGTATATTAAAAAAAAAACACATTTCTCCTTTAACAGAGGCAAACGACATAAACAAGGCAGATTATTTGCTGAATAATGCCAAGAAAGGGATATAAACTAAATTTTTGGCTTTGGGTTCAACAATGACGATGAAGCTTTGGTAGAAAAAGAAAAGAACCAACATAAGAGAGAAGTAATCATAGAGGCCAACAATGAAGTATCTCAAGAAGTCAAGGAGAAAATTCAAAATGACTATTCTGAAGCCAAGATTGGCATTTCACTTCCTGTTGCTCCAAAAGTGAGTTCCAAGACCATTAACTGCTCAACAAACGTGTTCCAATGTTACCTTTCATAATAGTTAGGCAGACAGTCCACCAACTAATCAAAGCTCAAGGGAAAGATTTCCAACCAATCGACTTTCAACAACTAAAGCTCCTATTATCGACCCAATGGATAACTCTAAACCTGATAGGACAGTTTCAATTTAGCTTGTTGGTCATAAATCTAGGCCCATAGTAAACCTTAAAGATATGGTTAATTCTGAAGGGCCAGCAAATGTTGTGAGCCCAATTGAGAACAGACCCAAACGTGTTGCCAAGAACCCATCATATTTGAGAGACTATGTAAGGGACTAGGCTGAGAATGTTGTGTGATTTATTATTTTTTATATTAAAATATTCGAAACTGATATCATTTTTTTACAGATATTTGAGTGTGTTTATAATTTGTTTAATATAAATTATAAATTTGAATATACTTATTGGACATGCGGTTGAACCAGTAACCCACTAATTGAAACAGTGACCTAATACTTCGAGTTTAATAACATTGCTTGTATCCATTAAGGAAAAACCATTGTAATTTTTCCAGTAATTTTTGAAAGTCCTATTATTTTTTTTTCCTATTAGTTACTTTCTCATGTATACATTAGAAATATATTGTTCGCTACATGTTATGCTTTTCCCATTAATTTACTTTCCCACGTTGAATTATAGTCTCTACACTATCCAGCGGCTTTAGTCCTCTTTTTGTCACGTGTCAGAAAAGTTACACAAAAAGCCTGTCACTTTAACCACAAAAGTCTCTACACTATTCAACGACTTTTGTGACCAAATAAACTCGCCATGTGGCCAAACAAAATATGTTATAGTACCTAACGACTTTGGTGTTGGAAAAAAGATGTGGGTCCGTACATTGAGGTATTTTTATTGGAAAGTGTGGCAAAAAAATCAATGTCAAATAGCTAAAGTGAAGTTGGAATAAAATTAAATTTTGAGTAAATACCATTTTTGGTACTCAGCAAATTTCACGATACCCGCTTTAGTCCCTAACAAAAAAGAGGTCATTCGTGGTCCCTAGTTTTTTCAAATTAGACCCACGTTAGTTCTTCTGTTAATGGGGCTCTAACGTCGTTATTAACGTTTCGGACTGTACCGTTAAGTTGCTTGAGTCACAATCCACCCTGGACAAAAAATGCCGTCGTTTAATACCTTCTTACTTTTTTTTCCATCTTCTTCTCTCCAATGCAAGTTCTTGCACTTGCAGCACCAAAAGCTCAAACCTCAAAACTTGAACCCAACATTGCATTGTACTCTCCAATGAGAAATGGAATCGGAAAGGCCCGTCTCTGCAACGCCGGGATCGGAGATATCTCTGACAGTTTCTCAGTGGAATAAAATATATTTACAATAATTCATAAACAAAGAAAAAAGACCGAATCTGAAGTCCAACAATTATGATAAAGAAAAAGCAAAAGCTTCAGGGATTTTGCTTCAACACTAATCCAAAACCAGCAACAAGGAGTAGCGTTTTCAGTGAGGAATAGAAAGGTTTAATCTTGAATTTGAAAATCACGCACCTGAATGTAGCTTCCTTGGAACAGAGGCATGATGAACGCCATTGCAATCATTCAAAAACGGCTAAATCATTTAAAAAGAGAATCAAACACACAAAAATAAAACAAATAAATCATAAGCATAACATGGTCCACGAATAAAAAAATTAAAATGAGTAGCATAATAATAACATAATGGGGTTTGACTTTAATTGCAGACCACATATCACACTGAAGGACAGGGCATCTAGCATGGAGACTACTCTTATCAGGAGATGTATTTATGTGAATAGAGAAAAACAGAATTGCATTCCCTTTAGCAATCATGAAGACTACTCTTCTGCAAAGGCCTGCTATTCTCTAGTGGAAATGATTTTCAACAAACAATCATATATTAGACTGTGTATCACAGAGCATAGTCAGTCGCTATGGACTAATGTTTTTGGAGCCTAATGACTAATATGACCAAAATTTGTAGTTCTTAGGGACTAGGGTGGAATTTCCACATTCTTAGACTAATGTGTCCTCCGCCAAGTTTCTGGGGGACAAATATGGGGGATTACTCAAAAATAGATTTTATTGTGCTACCCATTTTTTATGTATTCAGTTCTGTTGTTTTCTTAATCTAATTTTTTTTCAAAGAAATTTTTTTCTCAAGTTAACAACATAGATATTATACTTTGACTTGCTTTTCTTATCAAAATTAACACTGCTATCATTGTGTAAATATAAGAGGTTCATGCACCATTTCTTGGACTATGGGGAGTTAAAATCTTGGTCATCGCCATATTTGTTGCATTTACCTTGGCAAACATCGTAAGTTGCTTGGAAAATGAGAGAACATCATCGTTCAGTTTTAAGATCTTTTTGGACACTGTAATTTTCTTTGTGCTTGTTTATTTTTTATAAGCATTATGCATAAGGATTGAACCTGGTCTGGAGCAACAGATTGCTCTTCCACGGGATTCCTACCTTCAGGTTTAAGTTTCTAGTTTTTTCCCCCTTTTTTTTTTTGCAATTTCTTGCAGTTCCATTATTTACTCTTCAGCCTCTTACATTCGTTAATATCATTTTGTTTCCAGGGATATTTCAGTGACATTTCAGAGTATCTCAGAGTCGGACCACCATTATATTTTGTTGTAAAGAATTACAATTACAGGTTGATTAATCTTATTGTTCTTGGTGTACTTGTCTCCTTGTTCATTGATGTCATTGTCTTTTATTCATTGATCTCATTCTTTCAATATTTTGATGCATGGATGGTGCAGTTAGAAACTTTGACCAGGCCCGAAAAGCAACGGAGGATATGAAGGAACTGCCAGAGATATCTCCATCGTCGGCGTTGCAGAGACGGGCCTTTCCGATTTCGTTTTCCATTGGAGAGTACAATACAATGCTGGGTTCAAGTTTTGAGCTTTGAGTTTTTGGTGCTGCAAGTGGAAGAACTTGCATTGGAGAGAAGAAGATGAAAAAAAAAAAAGTATGAAGGTATTAAACGACGTCATTTTTTGTCCAAGGTGAATTGTGACTCAGCAACTTAACGGTACTGTCCAAAAAGTTAATAACGATGTTAAAGCCTCATTAACAGAAGGACTAACGTGAGCCTAATTTGAAAAAATTAAGACCACAAATGATCTTCTTCTTTTTTCTAGAGACTACAACGGGTACCGTGAAATTTGCTGAGGATCATAAAAAATATTTACTCTTAAATTTTTAAAAAATTATTCAACTTTTTATTTTTTCTTTTTTTCAAAAAGAAGAAATTTGACTTTTCAAAAAATTTATTTTACTTTTTTTTAAAGTTATTGTTCAAACGCGGCTCAAAAAGTAAGAATTTTTTTTTTAAAATATTTTCGAGAAAAAAAAGTCATCCAAACCGCCGTTAAATATACTTCACTGATACAGAAATCCCACTACTAGCTGTAGAAGCCCGTCTTCCAAAATCGCGAAAAATAGAATTGCTTCTTGTTCTTGGTTTTAATATATCGGATCTGTTCGATCATAGAATTGCTTCTTTGAAATGGTTGGGTATGGCAATGGAAATAGCAGGGAAGAGTTTTGGCCATTGGATGTAATGATCAACATTCTGAAAAGGGTTCCTGTGAAATCCTTGATCAGATTCAAATGTGTGGCCAAAGATTGGGGGGAACTCTTCAAAACACCTTATTTTATTGCACAACATCTCCACCACTCTGCCAGTAACAACTCCTATCTTCTCCTCCAACGAATTCCCGAACCCTATCATCAATCTCATCCTTTCACCTTCTCAACGTGTTTGATTGGACCCGACCTCAAAATTCACAACCCTCAATTCATCGATTTTACCTCACCTACTGCTAAGATTGTTGGTTCCTGCAATGGCTTGTGGTGTGTTAGACACACCGACCACGCGAAGCTTTCCCTCTGGAACCCAGCAACCAGGCAAGTGAGACAGGTACCTGGAACCCTAATTGATATAAAGAATTCTTACCATATTGGATTTGGTTTCAGTCCAGTAATCAATGATTATAAGATAGTGAGAATTTCTGTGTCTGAATTTGACGATGAGGATCAGATCGTGGTTCTTGATAACGACGTTCGGTCCCACCGAGCGGAAGTATATTCATTAACCACTGGTTCTTGGAAAGAAATTGATGCCATCAATTTGCAAAATTTGTATTTTATATCTAACTCTGTAACTGCCAATGGAGCTGTGTTTTGGGAGGCCACCATGACCTCTGACTCTGAATCTGACCCTGATCCTGAATTTGTGGTTTCATTTGATATAGCACAGGAAGTGTTTACGCTGATTAAAGGTCCTCCACCTCCACCTTCACCCACTCATTCCTATAGCGATACAATTGCAGTATATAACAATAAACTTACTATGTTTCGCCACTTTGTTATGGGAAACTTCGAGTCTTCTTCCATTGATTTGTGGGTACTTGAAAATACTCATACGTGTGCAACTGGGGAGAGTTGGATTAAGAATTACAGTGTAGGACCTTTTTCGAGGATTTTATATCCATTAAGCATCTGGAGAGATGAAATTCTCTGCCGGGTAGAACTGCCTAGGCACGTGGATGAATACAATGGAGTGGGAACTGTTCTATCCCTCTTCAATCCTTCTAGCAATGAATTGAAGAAGCTGCCAACCCATAAACATGAGTTTTATTATCTTTCCTTCAATTATGCAGAGAGCCTTGTTCCGGTTGACAACATTCACTATGAACAGTAGTTTTCGGTTTCACTTTGTTCATGCAGTTTGGGTGGAAAGGTTCGCTTTTAGTGATACATACTATAGACATAAGTTACGTCGGTTAATCCATATATGGTTTAATGTATTTGGTTCTATTCATTCATGATCTATAATACATGATACCTGATTTTTAATCCAGTTTTGAGCATTCTTTTCGTTTATATATGGGAAAAAAGAGTGTCAGTTTTAAATGATACACTTTACATTTTTTCACTCTCACAGAGAGGTAGGATCCATATTTTTTTTTTAAAATTCTTTTACTTTCTCTCTCATGATTTATCTCTTTTTTTCATTTAGAATGACACAATTTTATATCTTTTAAAATGATATATATTTTTTCCTATATATATTTATATGACCCGAGGTTTTGAGTATTTTTCTAGCAGGTAACAGATATATATTCATCACTATATTTCTAATATAAACTCAGTCTCTCTTTATTATCATTAGCTCGATCTTTTTTCCATAGGTGGTCATATATTTGAGATGGTGGTGTGTAAATTATTTGGGTTTGTATGTCCAATTAATAGACTAATGATTTTTATGTCACTTATTGTGATCCGAAGATTACAGGTTCAAAATTGGAAATAGTTTTTTTTTTTTTTTAATGCAAGACTTTGTACAATCTACTTTTATCCTTTCCCTCCCAAAGTCGAGTACCGGAGTTTGTTGTTTTGCCCTTTATGAATGTGCAGATAAGTAAAACGAAACAAGTGATTTTTTTGCTTTTTCATTCTTAATAGAAATAATATGCATAGAGACATGACTACGGAAATTTCGACCATACAAGAGGCTGGCTTAAATTGGTTATTGGTAGATTTTTCATGATTTTGAGTTAAGTGTATATTGCACAACATTAAAGGGCGCCAATACATGATTTCAATTCATCCAGGGGATGAAAGGTTAACCGATTGTAAGGTTTATCATTTTGCTGACTTACCTGAAGGACATAATAAGTCTTGAAGGATTTTAATGATTGGCAAAGGATCATAAAATTTAGATCTCAAATTTACGTGTGAGCACTGAGATTCATTCTTCGTTGCGAGAGAGAAAAACCCTTTTCAAGAGCAAGAATCTATCGCGTCCGATTAAGAAATTTTTTGGAGAAAAATCTGTACCGTGATTATGGTGAGTTTGTCCGATTCAAATCTCCGAAAGAAGTTCCATCGCTTCAGCCGCTGTACTTGAAAATCCTTGTATTTAGAGCTGATCTTTTAGAAACGTGGTGTGGAGATTTCCTTTCCAGAGTTGAGTTACCTTCATAAAAGAATTTGACGAATTTTCTTGTTTTGAAGAAACCGAGAGAATCAACCCAGCCTTGTACCTCATGTGTGACTCCTCCAGGTTCTGGTTTTTTTTAATAAAATCTTTGAAGCTTTATTGATATATCTTGGCATTTCTACATATTTGCAATGTTGATTCATAATGGATCTTGGTTTATACGCTTTTGATATATTACGTGTGATAAGTTCAGTGTAATGTTGTCTGTTATCCTTCTTTGAAAATCTGAATATTGTATTGGTTGTTTTTGTTGTTGAAGTGCCTGTTCATAACTAGTTCTAGTGTGGGTGAGTGGGTCCAACTCCAACCAAAAGGGTTGGAGACCCAAACTCAACTTGAGAGTCTGTCTCAGGATCTTAGGGGGTGTTTGGTTCAGGAGAAATAATATTTTACTAGGGAAATGAAATTACTAGGAATCTGCAAGGAAAGTGAGTTAGATAGGAAAGTTTAAAAAAAGTTGTTTAGTTGAGTAAAATTTTACTAGGAAAATTAAATAAAATAACAGAATGAAGTGTTTGGTTGAATATTTTATATTGATGGGAAAGTAATTGAAATTACAAAACTATCCTTTTTTAAATTGCCCGTTATACAAACAATTGTGCAAACGCACGGGTCGTATTTGAACACCAATCCCACCAATCCCATGTTAGGATCGAACGATTCCACCAATCTGGAAAAGTTCATTTTTGAACACCCATGCCCACCCGACTGAAGAGCCTGACCATTACCCAGTTTTTAACCCCCATTTCGTATTTGTTCCTATGTCTGCTATGGTGTTACCCATCTAGCTTCTGTTCACGGGCATTGTTGCCTACTGGTTAGCCCACCGATCTGAGTTGCTATCCTACTGCGTTGGTGGTGCTGCAACTCTGAGTGGTGTGCTATGTGAGGGGTAATATAGTCACCAGTTTATATCACTTTTGCCACTTTTTCAACTTCTCTAGTTTTTACATAAAATACCACCTTCTAGGAAGCAATCTGAAACAGTGATTTTCAGACAAATCACACTCAATGCAAGATAGATGGGCAACAAGGAAAGATGGGTAAAAAAATGGAAATCTGTGAACCAAACATGGAGTTACTAGAATGCAAGCATCACTTCCCCAGGAAACTTTGATAAAAACCTGAAACAAACACCCCCTTAAAGAACCTACTATGGGGAGAGTTGTTCTGTGTAAGGAATTTAGAATTCCTTGGTTCGATCTTAGAATTCTTGTTGAAGCTTGGAGCGTGTCAGAAAGAATAGTTCTTTAGCTATTTTGATTAATCGTATTGTGTGTGAGACATGTTTGTAAAACATTGGTCTTTGATTAATAAAATTAGGGGTGTTCAAAATGTCCAAAAGAACCAAACTGTTACACATTTTAAAAAGAAGGCTTTAAAATGACAAAGACGAAGTTAAAAAATCATAACAAAAAGGGCAATGAAATTAATCAATTGGCTTAACGTCTCTTAGAGCGCCGTTAAAAGGACAACTCACAATGAATTTACTTATTTGTTCTTTAATTATATACCAGTTTAGTTATGGATAACCAATTATTTTTATGGTTTGGTAAATAACCAATTTATAAAAATAAAATACAGTTTCATATGAAGCTAATTCTTAAAAATAACCGATTTTTAAAATATAGAGCAATTTGGTTATGGATTGGTTTCATAATCATAATTTCTAAAATAATAAAGTTTTCAAAAAATATTCTAATTATCACATGTAGTAATTTAAATTTTAAAAAATTACCTATATATATATAAATGTTCATTCAAAATTAACCTAAGAACATCAGGGGATTAGGATTACTTGATCTCCGTGTTTGCTACCTTCTAGAAGAAAAGCGATTTAGAAAAGAGAAGCGGTTGGTAACCAAATGAAAATAATAATAAAATAAAATAAATAAAAATATGAATTTGAAGTAAGAAAAGAGAGAGTAAAGGAGAAATATTGAGGATTGGAAGTGAATTGGTTTGGTTAGACTAGGCCTCTGTTTATAGTTGAAGTTATGGGCTCAGATATGAGTTTCGTGCAATTATTTTCTTATTCTTCATTGATGTACCTGGCTCAGATATTGACTTCGTACACTATTTTCTTATTCTTCGTTAATGTACCTGGCTCAGATATTAGCTTAATACACTATTTTCTTTTTATTCTTAATTTCTTATGGACTCATAATATCGCTAACTCATGACTGACTCATTATCGACTCAATGCTGACTCATCATATCTAATCAAATAATCACTTAATGCATACATCACAATTTATCATCTTTTTTTTTTTTTTTTGGAAATACAATGAAAACTAAAGCAACATCAAAAAAAGCCCTATACTGGGCACAATCTTGGGAGACTAACTCCCCTCAAGTCATTACGAAGCAATTCTAAACAAGCCATTGGAGGGACATCCAGCACAATCAGTTGTCCATCCTGATGAGGTGCATGAATAACAAGCCAATCAGCAACAAAATTGCCTTCTCTATAAGTATGACTAAGCTGAATAATCCAGTCTCTTTGAAGCATGCTACGAGCTCGGATGATTAAAGCAGAAAAAGGATGACTTATGTCACACCCTTCTCTTATAAATTCCAAAGCCACCTTGGAGTCACCCTCCACAAAGAGTATCCTAAATCCCTTATGCCAAGCCAAATCCATACCTGTCAAGAACCCCCAAATTTTCACTGAAGTAGAAGTACCACTCCCAAGGAATTTTGTAAAACTAGTTAACCAGTTCCCAGCAGCATCCCTTATGACTCCACCACATGCAGTCCTTTGCCCACTGTCTATGCTGGAACCATCCACATTAAGACGTTCCTCTCTTCTAAGCTCCTGATGACCAATCTTAATAAGGGTTTCATTAGCTAATTGAATATTACCACAAGTGTAGGTAATGCGCCTAATGAGACCATACTTCGAGGTGCTAATTTGATCAAAAATCGCCTTATTTCTTTCCCCCCACAAACACCAAGCTATCACCCCAAAATACAAAGGCCAAGTTCGATCAGTTTGAAATGGACCTTTTAATCCTAGATTTGTCTGAATCCATAGGTGAAGATCCATGGAGAAAAAGTCACTACGGTTATCAGAAGGAACCCGATGCTCCCATAATGCCCTGGCACCAGGACAATCTCTAATGGCATGTAAACTATCCTCAAGATTATAATGACATCTCAGACACGCTGCATTTGTAGCCATGTGACGATGCACTCTACAAACATTAGTTAAAAGAGAACCTCTGTAGAGAAGCCATAAGAATTGTCTAATACGTTCAGGACCAGGCCAAGCCCAAATTACCTTCCAAATCCTATCCTGATGATAATGCGAGGTACCCATGAGATAGTTATAAGCTGATTTCACTGAAAAAACCTATCTTGGCTACCTTCCCAAATAACACAGTTCGGAGAAGGATCCACTGTAGGAGGGATCATACTACGAATCTTGTCTAATACTGAAGTAGGAAGAAGGTGCTGGAATAAAGGCCAGTCCCAATTACCATAACAAGTTACAAATTGAGACGTAGACCAATGAGTCATAATATGAGGAATAGGTTGAACGGCCACAGAAACAAGTTGAGGACATCCTGGCACCCACGAATCCATCCAAAAAGACGCATGAACCCCATCCCCTAAAATGATACGAGAATTCTCTAGAGTTTGAGGCCAATACTTAACAATAGCCTTCCATAAACCAGAATCATTTGCTGAAGCCGAGATACTTGGAATGAGCCTCTCCTCCACCTTATACTTGCTACGAAGGACCCGAACCCATAACGAATTACGATCAGTCATGATACGGTGACCTAGCTTCATGATAAAAGCCATATTATTCTCTTTAATTTTACGAAAACCAAGCCCCCCTACTTTCTTCGGCAAACAGACCGTCTCCCAAGAAACCAGGTGAGCTTTCCTTCGTTCAGAAGTTGATCCCCAAATGAAATTCCTAGTTACACCCTCAATACGATCACACGTACCACTAGGAATAATACAAGTTTGCATAGGATATTGAGGAATTGCAGTAAGAACTGACCTAGCCAAAGTTAATCTTCCTGCCAATGAAAGAGTACGTTGATTCCAGGCATTTAAACGAGCTTGCATCTGATTTAAGATATAGTCAAATGTACTCTTTGTAACACGGCTATGACGAAGAGGAATACCCAAGTATTTACCCAAGTCATTTGTAGGAGAGTAGCCCATCAACTGGCTTAGATTCTACACTCGGGTATGATTAACGTTTCTGGATAAGAAGACTTTTGTTTTTTCCTTGCTAACCTTCTCACCAAAGCACCTGCAAAAATAATCAAGAATCTTATTAATAATAACAGCTTGCCTTTCTGTGGCTTCTGTAAAGAGCAGAAGATCATCTGCAAAAAATAGATGAGTCATCTGTAAAGAACTGCTTTCACAATTTATCATCTAATATATATATATATTTTATTACTGCTAAATTATAATTATAATTATTAATAATTTATTGTATTATAAATTACTATTATTTTCCTAGGATATTACAAACCTAGAGAATCAAGACTATTGAGCTCTTGCTTCAAGAAATACATTCATAGTTGGAAAACATGCATTAAAGGAACCTACAAAGTCCAAATATACATACAAGTTCACACACATAAAAAGTTGTTAAAATGTTGATAGAAACATTCATACATGTATTAAAAGTGATTAAGAATCATTTGGAGTTGAATTGGATTAAAAATTGCAAAAATAGACACTTATGTTCTGGTGTTACTCGAGTAATTCAGAATTACTTACCCGAGTAACTTACTTGAGTACATGGCTTACTCGAGTAACTGGAACCACTTACTCAAGTAAGTGATCTTTACTCAGGTAATTGTTGATAAAAAGCTAAAACTTGACTTTAATGATCTAATTTGATATCCAATGATCATGACCGGTTAGTACTTTGATTGGATTTCTATATAAATATAATACTAGGGTTTCTAAACAAGTTTTTACTAAGATTAACACAGATTCACATAGAATTCAGGAATTTCATCATTTAGAGGCATTTTTTGCATATCATAAGAAAGACTCATTTATTCTTAAATCTTCTTCGTTTCTTCTGAGATATTTTTGTTAATAGATTGTGGAAAGTTAGTTTTGAATCAGTTGTGATTCATTAGGCTGTTGTATTCGAATTTAAAAAAAGGAGTGATCTATAGATGTATGGGTTGAGAAAATGACCAATATTCTTGTAAAATTCCATTGTACATTGGTTTTTCAAGCACCAATTGAAGCTCTAAAGATTAGTGGATGATCTGAAACAGTCTGGACATAGCCCTCTAGTGGTTTGAGGGTGAATTAGGATAAAATTCTTATGTTTGATCTTTTTACCCTTAATCTCTTTAATTTTCAATTTTGATTCTTTGATGGATGCATTTTTTACTCTGATTCAATTCTGTTTTGAGGTTAGAAAAGGTTTTTATTTTTATTTTTGATCAATAACATCAATTTCTAAGAAAAAGGACCTTAGGGAATAGATTTCTTGCAAAAAAAAAGTAACCAAAATTCACCCCCTTGTTGTGATATAAAAGTCATTCTTGTTTAACACAGAGCCTTGTCAGGTGTCTTCCCAAGCATTAAATCTTTTAGCTCTCCCTGAATTTTTGACCTTTCCTGGTGGTCGTTCTCACGTGCGTCCAACTCGACTAGCATGACTGACTGGACTATCTCGTGGTTGGACCTCCTTCCTTTTATCCTTAGTTGACTTTGTGTGAGATCCGTGGCGACAAGGACAAACCGCGCATATTGATTTTTATGACCTCATAATATTGATTGGGCTTAACAACTCTTAAGGTCTTCTTGTCACCTTTGACCATGACTACTTCATTTTTGTCCTCACAAACTACATATGAAGGGATGGGATCCTAATCCCTTCATACGTATGTAATATCATATATGACAAAGCCAATTGTCAAATGTGTTGCATATGTTAGCGTTGTTAAGGCCAATCTAGACCAATCTACGACAGGTCAATTACGATATAGATTGGTCATCTTAAGCACATAGATGACAAAGCCAATGGTCAAATGTGTTGTGCATGTTAGCGTTGTTAAGCCCAATCTAGACCAACCTAAGGCTAGTCAATTAAGATATAAGTTGATTGTCTTAAACATAATTATGTAAAATTAAGGGTATGTATGAATTTGATTTTTTATTTATTTAAAAAAAACACTATTTTGTAGTATAAATTTTGAAAGTTATTTTTACAAAGCAATTATTTTCAAATAAGTTTTTTATTTTTTTTATATAAACTAGAAATTTTTTATTTATTTTTTTAAAAAAATGGACTAAGTGAATGGCTAGGAGAAAAGCAAAACTAACTATAAATTTTTGTTTTATGTTTTCCAAGAAAAGAAAGGGAAGAATTTTGAGTCGTGTTCCAATTGTGCACAATTTAAAAAATAAAGTGTGTTTGCACACATAGCCATCCCCGTATATCCTAATCTTAGCCCGGCCCTTTTCAAAATACCAACATTACGATCTTGTTGTGCATTTGCACAGTGCCTAATTGCGCCCTGGCATGTTCCCTTTGAACGAGAAAAGCATAGCCTGTAAAATAACCAATCTCCAATATCTTAAACAGCTCCATGCACAACTCGTCCACCACTCCCAGCACCACCACAACCACTGGGTGGCTCTGCTCCTAACCCAATGCATACGCCTTCTTGCACCCTCAAGCTACACCTGCCACATTTTTCAAATGGCAGCATACCCTGATGCACATGTCTTCACCTGCATGCTCAAATATTACTCACAAATTGGTGCTCACATAGAGGTAGTTTCTCTCTTTAAACATATGCAATACTATGACATAAAGCCTGATACAACCTTCTATCCGGTTTTGATAAAATCTGCTGGAAAGGCCAGCATGCTGTTTCATACTCATGTACTGAAACTGGGACATAGTCGTGATCATTATGTTCGAAATGCAATTATGGGTATGTACGCTAAGTTTGGACCTATCCAGCTTGCCAGGAAACAATTTGATGAAATGCCTGATAGAACCGTTGCAGATTGGAATATGATAATTTCTGGATTCTGGAAGTGCGGGAATGAAGAGGAAGCAAGTAGGCTTTTTCATATGATGGGTGAGTCAGAAAGGAATGTTATTACTTGGACCACCATGGTTACTGGGTATGCAAAGTCGAGGAATTTGAAGATTGCAAGGATGTATTTTGATAAGATGCCAGAAAGAAGTGTGGTATCTTGGAATGCAATGCTATCAGGATATGCTCAAAGCGGAGCAGCACAAGAGACTGTAAGATTGTTCAATGACATGCTTGAATCTAGAAATGAACCAAATGAAACAACATGGGTAATTGTCGTATCGTCTTGTTCATCTCTTGGTGATTCTTGTCTTGCAGAGTCAATTGCCAGAAAGCTAGACAAAGTGAATTTCCGTTCAAATTATTTTGTCATGACAGCTCTGCTTGATATGCATGCAAAATGCGGAAACCTTGAGGTAGCTCAGAAGATTTTTGACCAATTGGGTATGTGTAGGAATTCTGTTACATGGAATGCCATGATTTCTGCTTACGCAAGAGTAGGGGATTTATCCTTGGCAAGAGATCTCTTTAATAAGATGCCGGAAAAGGATACTGTCTCCTGGAATTCGATGATTGCTGGTTATGCTCAAAATGGCGAGTCACTGATGGCAATCAAGCTGTTCAAGGAAATGATCTCTAGTAAAGATTCAAAACCAGATGAGGTGACTATGGTGAGTGTGTTTTCAGCTTGTGGACACCTTGGAGCACTATGTTTGGGTAATTGGGCCGTGAGGATGCTCAATGAAAATCAGATCAAGCTTAGCATCTCTGGATACAATTCTTTGATTTTCATGTACTCGAGATGTGGAAGCATGGAAGATGCCACAATAATATTTCAAGAAATGGAAGCCAGAGATTTAGTTTCCTATAATACATTAATTTCTGGGCTTGCAGCCCATGGGCGTGGAATGGAAGGCATCAAGCTAATGTCAAAAATGAAAGAAGATGGTATTGAACCAGACCGCATAACATATATTGGTGTATTGATTGCTTGCAGTCATGCAGGATTACTGGAAGAAGGTCAGAAAGTTTTTGAATCAATCAAAGTTCCTGATGTAGACCACTATGCATGTATGATTGATATGCTAGGTCGAGTTGGTAAATTAGAAGAAGCTGTTAAATTGATTCAAAGCATGCCAATGGAACCCCATGCAGGAATTTATGGATCTCTTTTAAATGCTATCCTCATTCATAAACGAGTTGAACTCGGGGAGCTTGCTGCAGCTAAAATTTTCAAGGTTGAGCCACACGATTCTGGCAATTACGTGTTGCTTTCCAACATATATGCATTGGCTGGTAGGTGGAAAGATGTTGACAAAGTCAGGGATACAATGAGAAAACAGGGAGTGAAAAAGCCAACTGCTTGGAGCTGGGTGGAGCTTAACTCATAAGTACATTGTGGAAGACAGATCACATGAACGATCAGATAACATCTATAAGCTACTGGCAAATCTCAAGGTTAAGTTGAGGATGACAGCATACATAGTTGATAAAAGCTGTATACTGTGAGGTGTTGGAGAAGAAAAGGAAATGGTGGGAGTTCACAGTGAGAAGTTGGCTATCTATTTTGCTCTTCTAAGCAATGATATAGGGCCAGTCATAAGAGTGGGGAAGAATTTAAGGATATTTCGAGTTTGCCATACAAGCATTAAGTTGATATCTAAGTTAGAAGGAAGAAAGATAATTGTGAGGGATAATAACAGATTTCACTGCTTCAGCGACGGGCTATGTTCTTGCGAAGATTACTTGTAAGCTGGTATTCTGCAGACACATAATCAAGGGAAGCATTTGCAATGTTTCTTCCCCTGATGGTTGTTAACATCAAAAGTGTTGCTGGTGATTTTACACTACTTGGTTAATCCATGCGTCTTTTAAGGATGCTTTTTCTTTTTCTTTTTTTCTTTTTTTCTTTTTTTTGGGGTTATAGCACCAACAAAATTTATATTATAAAAATGGTACACCAGTTCTGATCTATGCTGCTGGAGTGTTAACCATCAAGTAACGAAAAACCCCTTGGTTAATCCAATTCAAATATTTAAACAGCAATTTGAAGGTGAACCAATATGTACTTTTCCCACAAAATGCCTGTTACTTTGCCGTCACGAGAGTAACCAATTAAAGTACTTCCTCTTTTCCATAGTTCTTTTAGGGGTTCTGAAGAGTATTAGATGTTCCTTTATACGACATAGTAACAGGATAAACAAGCAACTATCTCTAGTAAATGTCATAACGCTCAAGTGTTAAACATGGAATATTAGTCTGTTCACCACTTAAAAGTTCCAACCAACATCCCGATCGTGTTTAGGTATTCAACAGAAACAAAACATTAAGATGGTGAGCTGGGGTGGGCCGTGGGGGCTTGGGGAAAGAAAGAAAGAACGGAGGGAGCGGAGAAATGACTTCCACTAGAGACGACTCAATAATCTTTCTCTACACTAGCTGGATTTAAGCATGGTAACAGTAGGAGCTTTAATGCTTTGGTGCCCCAAAGATTCCTTCAAAATCCTGCTAAAGAAAATCCTCATATTTGGGGGAAATTGTTGCAGCTGTGACAATACAGGCATCGGTCAGTATCCTGCTTTTTCATTCTAAATTTTACATTTATAAATAAATAGTTAAATAGAACGCAACATGGTTCCCATATGAAAAGGCCCACCTTGGTTCCCACAGAATATGATGCAGAAATACAAGAAATACAATAAAAACAATAACAAAAGCCTTCGCGCACTAGGTGAAATCAGGAACATGGGTCAAACTAGACCATGCTGAAACAAAATCAGAACTACTGCAGAATATATTAATATAATATCTTCATTGCCAATGACTACTTTTAAACACAATTCCACAGATCAGACAATAGGAATGAACACTAGCAAAACTTGAAATTTCATCTTCATCCAAGTTCATTGGCTAGAACAGGCAAACAACTTTTTTCACTTATAAATTGTTATCAACGTTCTAAACCTTATCCGTTGTTTGATTGATGATTGCTCCAAAGGATCTGAGCTTCTAAACTCTAGTTCTCTTGTTACTGCAACTTGGGCACTTGTATTGTTTGATGTGCTCAGCCTTAGCAGGAGTGATTTTAACACATTTACCATGGAACCATCTCTCACACATATCACAACATATCCAAAACTCATCACTGGCATAATTATCACCACAAGCCCCACATGTTGCACCTTGTTCGTCATCTTCTTCTTCTTCTCCACTCTCATCCTCTTCTTTGAGTGGTGCAGACATCTTCACTCCCTTGGCCTGAGACTCAGATTGGCGGGACTGTTAAAAGGCAGCACCGATACAGGAGGACCTAAGTGACTTTCCACATTTTGGCAGTGATAGAAACATAAACTACGAACATGAAATTGAAATTGAAACCTGCATACCACCTTTCCACATGCTTTGCTTTTGCTGCCATTGTTGTGAGCAGCTGATTGATCCTTTGATTGCTTAGCACTTCCTGTTACAACTTCGAAGATGGTTGGCAGATCATTTATCATCTGAAAAAGCCTTTTCCTGTAAATATTGATTTGAAACAAAACTATAAGCACTTCCTAAATATAATCTCATATACGAAAGAATTATTAGGATTTCTAGCAATGTATATACAAACTAGCAATATACTTTTTCCGCTGGGCTCCTTAAGGAATATTGCATTTTTCTTTGTTTCCTTCTTTTCCCCCATTTTAGCAAAAAATATATATCATTTATCACCCAACCTTCAGCATGCTATTTGATCTGACAAATGCTTAGCTCCTTTTAAATATTCAATTGACTCTCAGCAATTATATTGGGAAAGGGATTCAATGGGAGGCTGAAATATACCCCAGAAGAATATATGTAAATTTCCTTTAATATACCCAATTTGGGACAAATATAAATCAGCTATGTAATATGAAGCTGCAAGCATGGCAAACTGTTTTCACTAGCTAATGAAAAGACATTGCTCTAGCTTAAGACCATAAAAATCAGTTAGCTTTTGCAGAGTCCTACTAATGTCAGGCCGCAGCAAAATACTTTCAAGAGTTCATATCAAGAAGCTATTAGCAGAAAAGATGTGAAAGCATTCAATATACACATTGCCATACTAGATACATATCAGTCACACCTGCAAGTGGAAATCCAATAATAGACTTTAATATTCAAGACTGCATTATTTCCAAGGCCATAATGGAACTAGGTCATTGTATATCAAGTGAACTTCTTTAATTTTAAGAATCAACAATTCATCTCGCTTGTAGTAATGTAGATACTGATACTCCGTAATGTAGATACTGCTACTCCTATTCAGGGATACAGTAGAAATAAAGCAAAGAGCAAACTCAAAACACACACAGACAATACAACACACACGGAGAGAAACTTAGGAGGTGTTTAGTTTGTTTTTAGTTTTCATTTTCAGTTGATATGTTTTCGTTTGTAATCACAAAATTGCCAACTTGTTTCACATTATTTCCTATTTCCAAAATGTTGTGAAGGAGACAGTGAAATTGTTGTTTTCACCATTTGTTTTGCAAATTGTTGAAAACAGGAAACAAAGTGAAAATAAGGTGATATTTTTGTAAATATTAGTGAAAACAACTGAAAATGGAAACAAAAAAAAAACACCGCCTTAATTTTTTATTTAGTGCACAATGCTTAAACCGATACTCCTATTCTGATATACAGTACAAATAAAATAAAGAACAAAATCAAAAACACAGAAACAGAAAGAACCTTGATTTTTCATTTATTACTCAATGTTTCAAGTTTTAAACATTATAAACAATTACTACTATGACATCCATGAGCACATCATCAAGAATATTACATAAATTGCAATGTTTGACTATAGCCTTAATAGATTAAAGAAGTGGCAAATTAATAACGATGTTGCAAATTTCTCAACAGACTATAGTAATAATGATTAATTTTCACTCAAATGTTGTGCGCTGCTCGAAATTAATGATGCCTAACAATCTAAATGTGTCAAAGAAGTTCAAAACTAGAGGGCTACGTAAACCCAAATATTTATTGGAAAAAAAGTGAAAGGCAGGAGTGAGTTGAGGAAAAACAAATTTGTGAATTTAAAAGTGTTGTAAATATTAGGTCTTTTATTATTATTATTTGTTGTATTGGGCCAAGCCCATAAGGTCAAGTATTAGGTTAAGAATTAGGGTTTTCATTCTCTATAAATAGAGACCTCTTTGTACAAATTATTTACACAATTAATAATATTTTTCTGATTACCCTTTTCAAGTTAGTATCAGAGCTCTCGATCTTGAGGGCTCTGCTTCCGCGCCTATTGTCTTTTTTTAAAACCCTAATTTCTCTGCCTCTTGCTGCCATCAGCCGCCACCGGAAATTTTTTTCCGGGGACCTTTTAGACCAAGGGGACCACTGTTGACCTTATTTTTCTTCCTTCTATCATTCTACGCACCGTTCCTCAGCCACAGACGACCCAAACACCTCCGACCGTCTCCAATTAGATCTGTCTTCACCGTTTGGACCTCTTTCCGACGACTTTTCAACCTCGACCACCCACAGACAGGTGCGCGCTCACCGGACAACCACGCCGGAAAAATCTCAGCCGCAGAAGACCCTCCACGCGCTCTCACGCGCCGCCTCAGTCTCCGCGAGTGAAGCCCACGCGCAGCTCCTTCTCCGGCGCGTGCGGTGGTGTTTTTGGACCGGACCACCGCCATTCTTCTCGTCTTCTTGTCCTCTTTCTGGATCTGTGCTTTCCTCTCAGATCGGACGTCGTTTGGTATTTGTGTGTTATTTTTGGCTTCTTGGTGTTATCCTTTGACCAATTTTGTGCAGTATGGCCTCTTCTCAAAGGAGTTCCTTTACAAAATTTTCTAATGGTGCATCTTCTAGACCTAAGAGAGATGATCGATGGTGTTCTTATTGTAAAAGAACAGGTCATATCAAGGATCTATGCTTTCGCCTCATGGAAAGCAAACTGTCTTAGAAAAGATGGCTAGGATGTGTGGTCAACCGCATTTTACTTCTTCTAAAATAACTTCTGCACCTAATGAGACCAAACCTGCATTTCGTCCAGATGAGTTGGAACGGCTCCGAACCATCCTTGATTCTCTGAGTAAGCCATCTGATACTAGTGCTTTGACTATGACTGGTATGAGCTCCAAAACTTATTCTTTCCTTTCTTCGTGTAATGATTTTAAACATTCTTGGGTTGTTGATTCTGGTGCTACTGATCATATGGCTTGTTGTGCTGACTCCTTTACTTCTTATCATCCTACCATTGGAACTCATACAATCGCCGTCATAGCTAATGGCTCACATACAATCAGTTGCGGGTTCTGGTGACATAAACTTACAGCAGTCCTTACATCTTAAAGATGCTCTTCATGTTCCTAAACTCTCCACGAATCTTCTTTCTATTCATAAAATTATAAAAGATTTGGAATTGTACTGTAACCTTCTTCCCTACCCATTGTGTTTCTCAGGATCTCGTCACGGGGAAGACGATTGGTAGTGCTAAAGAGCAAGGTGGGCTGTACTATCTGGTGTCACAATCTCCCGCAAATAAAGTAACATATCACATCTTGATGTCTCATGGTCAATCAACTGCTAATTCTTTGATTTGGCTTCATCATAAGCGCTTGGGACATCCTCCATTTAGTTTACTCAAGTCT